TTAAAAATTAATTATGTAATAAAAATTATGATATTAATAAAGATCATGAGACACATCTCACCTTAACAAAAAAAAAAATTTAAAGTATATTGTATGTTTTTAATCATGTTTATTTTGTTTAAAAAATTTTATTTATAGTAATTTTAATCAAGAAAAAATACTTTATATACTTTTTATTATAAGTAAGCTTCAGCTTAAAAACTCAAGAACACTAAAAATAACTAATATAATAGAATAAAATCTTTAGTTAAAGGATATTTAAATTAGTTGTATAAGAAAAATTTTGTAATAATATATTTTTATTCTTTTATTTTCTTGTAATCCATAATTTTTTAATATTATAAAAACTATTTTTATCAATATTATTTTACTTATTAAACTTATAAAAAACATATTTAAACAAAGTTATAAAATCTAATATATGCTTTAATACAATTTTTATTTTTATTTTTATTTTGATAATACTTATTGTATTATTTAAAAAAAGTTGCATTTTTTTTTAATTATAAAAACCACAATTAATTTATCTTTTTCAATTAATTGATGCTTGGAAAAAATAAATAAAACTGGTTTAAACTGGTTTACTAATATAACAGCAATAATATTAATATTAACATTAATAATAACAATAATTATTACTATTCTTATAAACAATATTATTTATACTTTATTATCCATATTAAGAAAAAACATATTTACAAATTGCAAAAAACTAAAAGACAACAAAAAATCAATTTGGTGATTTTCCTGAATATATGATTTTTTTGTGAATTTTATAATTTATTTGATTTAGTTTAATTTTAATTAATTTTGTTTTTTTTAATTTTTTATATATATTAATCTTTTTTCTAATTAAATAAATATAGCTGCTATCTGACATAATTTATATTTAGCATATTTTTTTATAATATATATATTATTATATACAAATCAAATAAATAAATAATATTTATTTACAAAAAAAAAGTATATAATATATAAATAAATTATTATTTAAAATAAAATATATTTGATTTATTAAAAAGTTTCAAATAATAAATATTTATAATAAATATTTTAATAATCAATTTTAATTTAAATAAATCCTTTTTATTTTTATTATATCTTATTTAAATAAGTATCAATTATTAAAATATCAATTAAAAATAATCGAATTTTTAAATTTTTATTTAATTACAATAATTATTATTATATAAATTATTAATTTAATTTGGGCAAAATATTTTTTATTTAATTTATTTATCAAAACCTTTTATAATGATATAGTTCTATTCAAATCAAATTATTGGATACTAAAATATTAAGTTAATTTATATTATTATATTTTAAATTGTTATATTGAAATTATGTAATAATGACATCTTTTTACAACATGAGGTTTTTTTAAATTAATATTTATAAACATTAATAATTAATTTAATGATACTATTTTATTTATTTATTTTGGAATTTTAATTTCATATACAGTATAAAATTCAAACAAAAGGATTTATAATAATAATTTATTTTTATATTAAAATCCAAAAAAATTGAAATAATAAAAAAAAACAAGAAAAATACGTATATTTGATGATCTTATTATCTAGTTGATCAGTTGGGCACTAATAAAAATGACAATTCATTATCATGTTGATCAGTTGGGCAGTGATATAAGTTACAAGAAAAAATTTTTTTTTCCCAAACGCGTTATCCTTCTTACACATATCCTGACCTTCGAAATCTTAAACACATTATCCTTCCCGACCTTTGAAATATACAGTCTATTATTTTAGCGAAAAAACCTTTTGTGATTACATGATACTTCCCTCACAGGTATGTTTGCAGTTCTAAAGTCAACCTACCCTTTATTGTCTTGTTTTTCATTTTTATTATTATTCGTTTTCTGAATTTTGAAGTGGCGACTTCTCTCACGAGGTCCGGAGTAGAGTGTGGAGTGTTGAGTTTTATTAGTGTAGTTCACATCTGGCTACTTTACTATTCCCTGTAGCATACTAGATAACATATCTAACGGAAATACTTCACACTACTTTAGGTAATATGACGAATGGCCAAGTTTTCTCGAAACGTATCTGTTATGTTTTCTATATTTTCTTGTATAACGTGGAATATATAAATAAGCTTCGGACGTAATATGAGTTAGAATATCAAAATGTTTTTGTTTATTAAATCTTTTGTAAGAAATGTATTAAATGTTTGGTCTTAGTGTACATACGTAGATATTTAATTAAAAATATTAGAGATGTGTTTTACGCGAAATAAACTTAATGTATTATTTCTATATCAGATATAATGTAACTTACGCGAAATATACGAATAAAAATAACCAAATCTTCAAACCTGTTTCTATCATAAATCATCGTTGTTTTAAGGAATTGAAATCTATTTATTACATTAAGGTAAAGCAATTTGTCCCTTTTCTGGCTGTGTTTATCCTTATGCTAGTATAGCATAATATTAGCATAGAACGCATAACCGATAATATATTGTTATTGTTATTACTTGCCCACGAATACTAAAATCCTAGAAGAAAAAAATATTAAGCATAAAGATAAATTTTGACCTGTTTAAAAAAGGTTAATTTTGTTAATCCTTTGGATAAAATATATTCGTGTTTTTAAATGGGTCGAGTCAACACGAAATTTACGAGTTTGATTGAGGTCAAAATCAGATTAATCAGATTCGAGCACTAATTATGATCGATATTCACTTTACTCACAATAATATACAATAAATATAATTCCAAAGTTACGGTAGTATATTTATTAACAGGGGTGGAAAATTTTTCTTCGCTGTTCTCAAATTTCAAAAAATGATATTGTTTTATAAATGTATTGAAGGTATGTATGTCTATAATGATTGAATCGTTGACGTTGCAACCAAATTTCATAAAAACTTAATAATATTTCTCCTACTAAAAAGATTATTGTTGATTTGGGTTAGATTACTCTGTTGAGACCAGAATGGTTTACGTTGGTATTAAATCTATTTGACTTTAATGACTTGTATGAATTGGTTTGATTAAATTATGATGTCTAAATGATTCTTTATGCTTCTTTTCCATAAAGCATCATTAATAAATTTTGTTGCAATTTTTTTTGTTTTGTATAATGTTGCCAAGTTTATTTCCAAAAACATTATATGTTTCACTTCGTGCTTGGTGGTTAGGATTAAATCCCAATCACGGCACACCTCATTGGTACAAGAAAAAGCATCAAGACTAAGGTTCTAGCTAATAAAAGGACTTTTTTCAAGAAAGATCATGTCTCGAGGAAACCATCGTTGTTCTCAGACCTTTATTCATAAAGAATTCTGAGGGTCACATCAATCGGGCATACCACAGCTGAGAATGATAAATTTGTCCGAAGTTTTGTTCACTTCTTTGTCATATTTATACATGTGTTTGCGATCTTTTTGTCCACATATAATGGGTCAAACTTGATGAACTTATTCCAGGGATACATCTGGAGCAGTAGTTGTCTATCGTTTGATGGTAATTTGTAGGTAAGTTTTCGTTCTCGTGGGATGACAACCAATCGGTGTTAAGGTCCTCCAAGAACTCGTCCAAATGATCGTCTGAAGATGTAGGTTTATTGTTTGTTGTATCGTTTGAGAAGAAATGTGGTTGGGTGAATTATTGTGTTCCGTATCGGACATGTTAGAAGGTATGATTTTCCGTGCGGAGAAAAAAAACTGCCTGTTGGATCCAATAGAATAGAATAGAAATTTATTATATAGAACACTATAGAATGGTTCAATAATGATGTAATTTCAGGATACTTTGACGAACTATCGGGCGATCTTGCAAACTAGTGAAAGAACTTGATAGGTTTAATGGTATGTTTGACATTACGCAAATTAACGCTGTATGGTTCCTCTACTTCTTGAATAAATTGTTGCGAGGCAAATAATCTGAGAATCTGATCATCCAACTCCGATTTTGTTTTTACCATTATCTGAATATACTGCTCTTCGTCCTCCTGTTTAAACACACTATATCCCAAACATGATAACATAATCAAGAATTTGATCGAGAAATAATCTTACTTCATATAAAAGGTTACTTTGCTCTTCATATTTTTTGACTTCTAGACTAGCCACAGTTCCTCTTTCACAAACGGTAAGAGTTGCATGCAGCAAATATTATCATATGATGAATCGGTTTCTCACGATATGTTTGATTAACTATTAGGTTCGCTAAAAGACCAGTGTTATTGCATGGGTTTATTTCGCCAAAGAATATCAGTTCTCCACTATAAGCATTTTGCTAGACTTCGGCTGCGAAATTGCGAAATGTCACTCTCCTTGATACTCGCATGAAGATTGAGGAAAACCGAACCTCGATCACATGAGCTAGAAATTCAATTAGACTTGTCAAAATCTGAATTAGTTGGTAATGTTTTTCTAATAAACATAGTAATGCATGATCATCATTACCATTCTTCATACGGCCTCCCCACAAATAGCAACGGGTATATTCGCATGCACTCAATACTATCTTCAATATATTAGAAATCTTATGAGATCCATTTAGCAGCTTGTACTTTTTGTTAGACTTTAAATGTCCGCTTTGTGTAAGCATTAGTGATTCAGGATCAATAGCAGCTTTAGGTATTGCCGTTGTTATTGGAGGCAAAGTAGCTTCGACAGAAGCAGAGATTAAACCATGTGCTGGTACAGATTTATTATCTATTTCCATTGCGTCCTCAATCACGCCTTTCCGGGCGGAAATCTCACCACGACAAATTCTCACTCCTCCAAGTTCTTTGAGAATTCATTCTAATCCTTGCTCGCAAATTTTGCGTCAAATACTTTGTCGCTTAGCGTTATCTGTCCCAGATTTGGCAAGTTTCGTACACTATAAAATTAATTCTTATTTTTTTTATATACAGACCAGATCAAATTTGTCATTACCAAAATATTCAATAATTCATTTTCGCAGTCACGAGTATTTCATTCTAATTCAAGTATTTGCATGGCATTCGCCGTCTTTTCTTGTGCGGTGCGTGGATCTGAATAGCCATTTGATATTAGACGCTGAAGCCAATATCATGTGGAGATATTTTTTGTAAAGCCTTTGCACCAGTGACCTTTGATTTGGCAGTATCTGGACTAATAGTAGTTCGGAAACCTTCGTTTTCTTCATCTGAATGGCTCTCTATATTCTTCACCCTCAACTTGACCAACGTCTAATACACCTGTTGTCGATGCTTCCACACCACCTTTATCATCATCATCCTCGGACTCAACTTCGTATCTTCCAAATTCATCTTAATCTCGCCTGAAAGTCACCGTCATTCATGGTATCCTCAGAATGATAATCTATTATTTTTTCCCCCAAATTCACTAGCTGCGCAAATCTATCTGGTTCAATGGTACCGATGATCATTTCAAAATTTCCTTTTTTTGTCAAAATCCTTGAGTAAATCATTTTAAAAATTTGCAGCAGCACTTCAAATTACAGGGTGATTCAAAATTTTTTGAAAAAAATAATTATTTTTTACTTTATAAATATTATATTAATTATAATTTTTAA